TAGTTAATAGGAATTTCAGAAGGATTCTTCTTCAGAATAAGTCTATCTTATTTAATCAGAATGTGCGCCCGCCAATATATACCCTTACCCTTGCAATGTTAAAAAAAAAAATAGTGTTTATATCAGTGCATAGAATCATAACCCATGTTTTTAAAAAACCCAGTGTCTGGCTAGAGCATTCTTAATGGGACTTCATAGCATCATGAAATTTTGCTTGACTCTCTGGAGCTGATGGTGTGGAACTGTAAAAAAAAAATTGGAGGAAGAGGAAGGTTAGACAGCTGCTAAAACATTTTCCACCTCTGACCTTGGAAACATACAGTATTTAAAACTTTTGCTTTTATCTTCAGAGAGAAAATTTGTTTATCTTTAGCTCATAAGAAGTCCAAACAAAGTAAAATTCTCTGAAAATTGATCTATCCATTTTCCAGGGCAAACCTGGATTTGAGCACTGTGTAGGCTATTTGTGAATGTACAATGGTTTTGCTTTGTCTGTAAATCCTCAGAAGAAGCAGGTGGCTCAGACTTATATTATTATAGGGCCCACATGAATGGATACAAAGGACAAAGACAGGTTTAATTGTGGACAGATGACCTTCCTAGGCATTTGAGAGAAGGATCAGCTTCATCTGTACTTACTCATCATGAGACTGTCAGCCATGCCTCAAGTGAGCTCTTGTGCAGAGAAGCTGAATGGGTCATCTTTGCAGTATGCATTCTTGATTTTTAAACTTGAAGAGGTTTCAAAAGTTGTCTTGGCATGTCAGGATGTCTATTTTATTCCATGTAGTCTTTCACAAATTATGGTCATTCATTCAATCATACCTGCTTTTTGTTCTTCCTTCATTCCTTCTATCCATTCATCCATCGATCCATCTCCCCTTTCACCTGTCATGAAATATTTATTGAGTGCCAACTTTGTGCTTGGTACTATTCTAGGTACTCATTAAATCCTAGATCAATGAGTGAGCTTAGAAATAGTAAACATCATTCTGCATTACTGTGCACTGAATTGCTTTGTGACCACTAAGGATAATAGCAAGACATTGATACTTGTATAAACTATATAGTGATTTCACGTTTTCCTGTCTGAGTCCTGGTAAGTAGATACAGGATTAAGAAACAGTATTAGAGGCAAGTAGGAGAAAGAGTCTCATCTCTGAGTGGCTCTCAGGTTGATGCCTTGCCAAAATACATGTGTTGTGAATGGCTTTTTATTTTGGGAAGATGGGATGTCCTCAGTCTTTTATTTTTACTATCAGATCCCCTACTCTAACCTTCACCATTCGTAAGCCCCTTCCCACCAGCATCAGAAGGGTCTTTTTGCCCCTTTGCTGGAGATTTGGTGCTTTTCATTCTCCATCCTTATACTTGATGTTCTGGGTTCAGTTAGTTCTCTAGTCCTGTTAGGTTCCTGCCACATCTACGCTGATTCTTTTATTTTCACGATTGTTTTTCTAGCTTTAGCCGAGGAAAGCCTGGCTATTTCAGGCTCCGTTGGCCCTTGTTAAAGAGAAGACACCTTGCAGTCACATATGAATGAAAAGTGAGCATGTCACTGGGAAAGTGGGCAAATTTCCTCAAAAGCATGAGGATTAAAACGTGTTTTACTTTTTCACAATTTGTGTCCTCTGAATAAAAGAGCTGTGAATAGGAACCATAATATTAAGAGTTTAATAAAAACACACAGGGCAATGGTTAAAATCATGTTTTAGAATAAATTGCAATTAGCTTGATTTTTTGATTATTCTACTATTTAAGTGAAATAGAGATGATTAAAGGAAGAAGGACATTTATATTCTATCTATCTTTATGGTTCAAAATATTCAACTTCTAGAAACTTGGGGAAAATCCAGACTTTTTAAATAGAAACAAGCTGTTAACTACTGCCTAAGTGAATCTTGTCTCTATTTAAGGTGATGGATGAGAGCCCAGTCTTTGAGGCAAAACCATTTCTTGCAGGGAGTGGTCTGCAGAACCTTTTTTCAGAGAGGGTTTCAAATGTACCCTTATATAAATGCCTAAGGTGAATCTGAATTGAGATTGCTTTTAAAAAATAATTTTGAATAGGTAATATATGAAAAGACTCTAATGGTAAAAAGATACAAAAAGCGAAAGTAAATGTCTCCCCAGCTTCAAGCCACTCTGAAGGCAACCACTGTTACCAGTAGCAAGTTATCTATCTGGAAATATTCATATACAAACCCAAGAATATATTCTTCTTTTAAACAGGTGATAGAGCCATTGCTTTAAAATACAATGTCAGAATCACAATTACAGAAACGCCTTTATTTAAGAACATGTTTAAGTTCCTAAACACTGTTCAAAGTCCCTTCTGCCTCCCCAACTGCCCTTGCAATAAGTTCAAAGTGACATCTCACAAATGATCACACCACCCCACCCTTCTTTGGTGGGGATGGAGCGGGCCTGCTCTTGCCCTGGGGATGTCTTCATTTGTGTTTATGAAAGTTAGTAGATTAAAAAATTTGAAAATAAAGGGACTTCTGTGTCCTGTGAGCATTTAAATAGAGAGTATCAAATCTTTATTTTGGTAACTCTAAAGTTACTGAGTAACTTTAGTATCCTGAAGATTATTGAAAGGGACTAGTATATTTCCATGATCCATGACTGGCTTCAGCCATTCTGAAGGGACCTCAGAGAGGAGAAGATGCCACTCGGGCTCTGCTCTCTTCCTCCTGAAGCTCAGCCGACAGTGGATCCTTATGGATGAATATGGAAGGTCTTTCCTTCTCCTGAGGCAGCGTGCTTTTTAGAATGGATTCAAAATATCCTTGTTTTTTTACAGCTCAAAAGAATGGAGATATATACACATATATACTTATAATTTGGGATATTGCGTGCCACATCGGGCTATGGGAAAACCATTTAGGGTAGATAAGATCATTCATTGCTCCTTGGTCCGTATCCTCCATCTCCCCTGCTTGGGAACTGGACTCCTCCCTTATCAAATGCTCATTCATCATGCCTATGCTTGCTTCCACCTGCCCTTGTATCTATTTCTCAGAAATAGCTTTTATTCCCTCTTGCAGTTAGAGGTTCCCATTGTAGCTGCAATAGAAGCACGGGTACCTGGGCACCAACTCTCCTCTTCTCCCCTTCTGCATATTCTGCTCAGCTACCTCTTCCAATAACCCAGATGTCCAAGTACATTAATCAAAATGCAGCTCTCTCCCTTACAGGGGATTCTGTTTAGTTACACCTTTTTTTTTTAATCTTGCATGACCTCCGAAAACACTAAATAATGTTGGTAGATGAAAACTCCCACTCAGAATGGAACATCCCTATGTTTTAAGGGGCAGGCGTTTTCACTGATGTCCTGCTGAAGGAGCCAGCTAGTTTTCCATGCAGGTGCAAACAACACCGAGTTCTGCCCAGGACTGTTTTTCTCTCTGTGTTGTTTTGTAGTGGGTGATCTGTGTAAACCCCCTTGGCTTTGCACTTCTGCAGCACAGCTCTGTAGCATTTGGGGTAGTAATGCTCACAAAATCTCTTTCTGTGCAATTCAGAATAAATTGATTGTATAGTTTCAGGGATTCTATTTTCTTGTCTGGGTTGGAGATTTTTGTTATATCAAGGAATAATATAACACCCAAAATGGGTCAGCTGGCAGAGCTGGCCTGGTTATCGACATCCTCCAAATAAAAATAAGCAGTCACTTTTTTTTCGGTCTCAGTGTGTTACCTAGCTAACTATTAAAACCTTAGAAAAGAGCAGATGGCATCCTAACTTGAGAGGGAGTTAGGGGAAGATGTCTTACAAAAATGCACTTTTCTTTGTTGAAAAATGACTGCTCACTCACTAGCCATTGATTTGATCTATGAGGCACTGCTGCAGGCAGAGTCATGGACTGCTGGTTCCATGGCATTTAGAGTGTGATACTAATGAGCTTGTGCCCACAGAATTCAGTCCTCGTGCATGTCACCGAAGCTTTGTTCTGCCTTGATAGTCCTTGTGCACGCTACTTAGGTTTGTTTTTGCAGAATTCATGCTGTTGGTCTTCGAAGAACACAAGTGGGAGAGTAAGATTTGCTCAGATGTAGCCAGCTGTTACTATTAATATTTCAGAAATAACCAAAAACCTATGTTAGTATTCAGGAAAGCCATTTGCAGAAGTGTTCTTAGGGAGGCAAAGTGATAGTCTAGCTAGGATTCCTGCCTAGGTCATCTTGCTGTTGCTGAACTCCAGGGTGCCCAATCCTGCTTCCCTGCTTTTCCCACTTCTTACACCTGACTCTCCCCAACCCTATTTTTCTCATCCATGAGACCTGTTTGTTCCATGATGCCTTTCTGACTCCACCACGTCCTCACTCATCTTCTCCTTGGTCTCTGTGCTCTTCTACCTGGTGCTCTTCCTTTTTAGTGTTTGTCTTCTGGATGTTGTCACACCTGTGATTGTCATCTCAGCAGCTACCCCATAAAACACCTGCTAGACCAGAAACCTTTCCTGATTCCCTTGCACTGTCTGGCACAGTCCTGGCCATGTATTGTGGTGGGTACACAGTAAAGATCTTTTGGCTGATGATACTAATTAAACTGTGAATTATTGGGTAGTGATTAATGTACATAATAGAAGGACTCAATATTCTACCCCACGAGAGAACTCTTTTTGAGATTTAGTATTTGGTCCTTGATAGGAAGAGCATAATGATATAAAGTCCTGGAGGAGGATTTTTCTGTAGTTATTACATCCTCCTCTTAAAATAAGGAAACCAAATACTCTGTAGGAGGCCATTTGGTGCAGTCAGGGGAAGATTAACTTCCATGGGGAAATACATCAAGCAGCCCCACTTTAATAATCCAGGTGACTCAGCTGAGAGGGGAGCTCCCTCCTGTAGTCTAGGACTCTGCCTCAGGGGCCTACCCATCACCAGGATTGCCTATATAGAACAAGCCTTGGGAAAATTGCATCTCACGGTGACAGTTCAGTGACTCAGATGCTCTGTACACAGAGGAATTCTGGAGACTATGGGTTTATCTTTGACACACTTTGGCTTCATGTTCTTTGGAATTGTAGTTACTTTCCAAAAACCATAATTGGCATTTATATTGCTTTCTGTCAAGCTAAAATTATCAGAACAAGTTATGAAATATATGGATTTTCACATGCTACGATATACATATCTCACATATGTATATACATGGGATATATGAGATATATATATGAGATATATGAGATATATATATATATCTATATATATATCTCAATATATCTCACATATGTATATACATGTGATATGTGATATGTGAGATATATATGTATCACATTTTCTTTATGCATTCTTCCATTGACTGACCTTTAGATTGTTTCTATAGTTGGCTATTGTGAATAATACTGTCATGAAAATGAGAGTGCAGATACTTCTTTGACATGAGTATTTCATGTTTTTTTGCATAAATATACCCAGTCATGGGATTGCTAGATAATACAGTAGTTCTATTTTTAATTTTTTGAGGAACCTCCATACTATTTTTCATAATGGCTGCACTATTTTACATTTCCACCAACAGTGTGCAAGGGTTTCCTTTTCTCCACATCTTCACCAACACTTGCTATCTTTTGTCTTCTTGATAAGAGCCTTTCTAACAAGTGTGAGGAGATATTGCATTGTGGTTTTAATTTGCATAGCCCTGGTGATTAGTGATGTTAAGTATTTTTTAATATAGTTGTTAGCTCTTGTAGCTTCTAGTTTCAACTTCTTTAGAAGTTTCAACTTCTTTATCTTGGGGGA